TTGTATGTATATTTATAAGTATATTTAGATATACATATATATATATATATATATATACACTTATATATATACACATATACTTATACATATATATACATGTGTTGCTCCTACTTTCATGGGGTCTACCTCAAGTTCTGGTGTTTTCTATCCACCGCATATATGAACTATTTGAATGTTTACTATAGCCTTATGCTATATGAATAGTTTCTTTGGGGATTCAGATATGTATTTCCACGTGCGAAGCAGGGTTGATATGAATGGGTTCGCTTCAAAAAACCCTGATTGTTATACAACTATTGACATATGCAGTCTCAGTCCTTGACAAATGGCATGTATACACTAGCATACTTTGATTGCAACAGTTAGCGGCTTTCTCTTCTCAATCCATATTCAATGCGCCTCTCAATCCGTTCTCGCTTCTGTGGTGGAGCTCGACAGCTCCTCAGCAATACACATTAGAGGCACTCCATCCCAATCAAATAACAGTTTATATGCTTGGCCACTTTCAATGGGACCATCCATGGAATCACAACATCCTGACTCCAACTTGTTTACTCTGCTGAAAACACAGAATGATGTTCTTGAGCAGCACGTCTGGGAGCACGGGGAAGCCGCGGATCGCTTGTGAATGGCCTGGCTGCAGTGTAACGAATGTATCACCCAGTGATTATAAGATTCACATGCGCAGTCACACAGGCGAGCGTTCGTACGCATGTACGTACCCTGGTTGCGGCAGGGCTTTTGCAACCAGTAACGTACTCAAGTTGCATGTGCGCAGTCATACAGGGGAACGTCCGTATTGCTGTACGTACTCTGGTTGTAGCAGCTCTTTTACATGCCTTAGCAATTTAAGAACACATATCTGCATTCACACAGGAGAACGCCCATGTGCCTGTACCCACCCTGGATGCACAAGGACCTTCACTCAATCCGGCCAGCGTAATATTCACATGCACACTCACATGGTTGCACGGGAGTATCCTGGATGCGACACCGTCCAGACAGACTAGTCTACATACAACACAGATGCACACACCAGAACAGGGACCGTGCGCCTCGCGGTGCATTCATGAAGTGTGGGTGGGTTTTATCGATTCACCTACCAATACATAATAACCATTTTTGCTTTAGGGAACATTCTGGAGCTAAGAGCGATTTACTACTATAATCCTATGCCGTATAGCTAGGCTCATAGAGGCATGTGCCCCTGTGATCACACAAATATTGGGTGTAAACATCCTGCGAATATAACACAGGTTTATGTTTCCCAAGTGCAAGGCCAAGGTAAGCCAAGCCCAGTCGTCATGACTATGGTATAACCCTGATAAGGTGGTTTCTGAAGACAGCGCGATGAGGTACACGATCCAGTTGGCCTGAAGCGCCTGTCACGGCACCGCTATAGTTCAGTCTACCCGGAAGTACCTCAGCGCAGGATGATGTTTAACGGCTCGTATGAGAACCTTTTGTTTATGCGCACACGTTCCGCCAAGCTAGTATGGATGAGCGGCCCTCTGTGTTACACCACATGGATCATGCAATGACGAGAAAGTCTAGGAAGGGCCAGGTCTCCTATGCGTTCAACATGCGAGATAGGGCATTTGCAGCTCTGAACAGGGATATCATGTCTGAGCTGACGACGGAGGCTAAATTGTGGTGTGGTGCGTCCCCTTGTATTGAGGTTGAAACGGGTGAGCAGATTGCGTGACATGCCCTCGGCGTAGGAGCTGACTTAGTGTTGGTGTGTGGTGTGTGTATCGAGTAGGGCGCAAGGTATTGGCGTGCAGGCGGCAGGCGAGGCTGCCGTGTGGTGTGGTAGCCTGACCGTTGTGTGAATACTACGGCCAAGAGAGTGTGTCATTTGCTCAGAGGCCTTTACCAAACTGAGTCTAGGATTAAGGCTTACGCGGCCTGGACGTGCAAAAAAATGAGAACATAGAAATGTCCGACGGTATGGGTTGTAAACATTTCGAGACAAGAACAAGTAGACGTCCTAATTTAGAATCATCGATTAAATAACATTTCCTATATATATATATACACATATATACTTATACATACACACGCACAACAAAAATATAAAAATAATAAAAATATAGGAAATAT